TGGGTTTCTATTTTGGGGGGTATTGTTGACAAGAGGAATGGCTGTGTTTATTGTTTAATGTTATATGGCCCCGGTTAAACTTGTGAGTGATTAAAGGGTCTTACAACTGTAGTAGCTAGTCAGTGTCTTGAACCAGCCACTGGCATCATTTGAGCCTTGATCTAATCAGACTTAAATTGATAAAAAAATTCTGGTGTTTATTTCTTAAACTCCAAATGCTTAATTTGCAACCCTAGCTATAGAATTAACTCGAGAAGAAACAGGTTCTGTACTGACATATAGTGAAAAGCTTTCTAGATGGGTAAGAGACATGGAAGGACAAATATAATATACCTATTGGGTTGCTTTGCGTGTTAGTGACAGCTAACCAGTGCTCAAGGAGGCACAAGCAGTCCTCGCTTAATGACCATTTGAAGTTGCAAACTGAACAGATGCTACTCATTACTGGTCCTTGAAAATTGGTCATTTGGCAGCGGGCCCGCATTTTCAGTTCCTCCTCCCCCACCCCCATCTGCTTTTGGCCATCTTGCACTCCGCTGCCACCTTCCCTTGCAGCTCACGCTTCCTCCTTCTGCACGAGCCTTGGATATATGCAGCAAGGGTGGCAGAACCTCATCTACCAAATGGGGCTCACTGTCCCAGCTGGGGAGGAAGGAGGAGAAGCTAGTACTTTCCACAGGCAGAAGAAATGTGAGGTCTTCTCCTATCAGTGGCAAGGTCTTTATCTAACAACTGGGACTATTGGAACTGCTGTCACCAAACAGCAGTTTTGTCTTAACAACCGTTTTGCTTAGTGATAGAAATTCTGGTCCAAATTAGGATTGTTATGCAAAGTCTACTTGTACTACTACTATTCCTCTTCAAACAAATTTCACAACTAGGCAATGTGTCTTGAGCTCAGGTGATTAAATCAAACTGGATGTCATGCAGGACCTCCCCTCTATCAAACTTTCAGTTCACGTGGGTTGGCTGCTTTGCCTAGAACTGTTCCTAGGCAGAAAAGGAACAATTCTCATTGAATGAAGTGCTCTTTACAACAACGTTAACAGAATACAAAGTTAAGGTGAAATCCTGGTAGCATCACTTCAGCCACTGCTGAATCCAGGTTCTGGGTGAAATTGCTAATCAAGATTCCCTCCAGAATAGGGCTGTCAAGCGCATGGCCTGCAGGCTGGATGCGTCATGTGCTGGCCATGCCCAGTTTAGCGAAGGGGGGGGGAATAACAATATGTCATGTGACGCCACTATGACGACGCGAGTTTGACACCCCTGCTCTAAAAAAAGAATTGTTTAGTCTCTTCTCTGGTTGCAATGATTTCATTGTCATTCTTCCAGAATATTCATATGATATTAATGGCAACAACCCTTGAGTTAGAGAGTACTTTTAAGATTCAAAATATTTTAGTTTACCATTTCAACTATTTAATTTTTTTGGGTAGAACAAAGGTGAGAGAGAATGGTTTGTCTAAGGTTAATGTGGCGCAGTGGTTAAACTGCAATATTGCAAGCAAACTCTGCCCACAGCCTCAAGTTTGATTCTGACAGGGCTCAAGGTTGACTCAGCCTGTTTTTCTGATGTAAGTAAAATTGGGACCCAGATTGTTGGGGAAAATTTGTAAATAATGCTGACATTGTAAACCGCTCAGACAATGCTGTAAAGTACTATGGGTTGGTATATAAGCTTACCTGCTATTACTATTGCTATTGCGCACACATGAGAAAGATGAAGCTACTAAAGCTGATACATTTCACATGGGCCACTTCAGGATTCTGTACAGCAAAAATTAAGAGAAATATATTTGAAGAGGTTGGACTTTCTCTATAATTCCATAGGCCTTAAAGATTACTATATTAACTCGGTCTCCAGCTATTTCGTGGTCATTAGGCACCTTCCCTTTAAACCTTTTACATTCATTAGGCCTTGAGTCACTCAGAATCATAATGCCAAAAACAATCACTCCTCCAGCCCCAATCATTTCATAAACTTCCTAGGGCTCTTTTCGATGTAGCTATTCAGAGGCTCAATGCAATTTGTCTCTTGCAGTTAAAAAACTCTCTACGGAGATACTGCAGTACTTGGTAGAAGGCTGCCAAACAAGGCCAGGAGGCGAGCTTGCCACCCAGCTGATTTCTGTGTTGAGGTAAGTAGAACACTAGCCAACTGGCACCAAAATGATTGCAAGCATTTGACAGAAAGCATGTTCTTTTAAGCAACTAATTATCCCTAACATAATTTGATGTGGATTGTTTATATACTTTCATTCTTGGCAAGATGGTTTATTGTGTGGATAGGCCAACAAATCAGGAAGCACACGCACATCCCACCCCCTGTAGATGTTGACTACTAGGGGGGAGATTGTCACAGTTGCAGCCATGAAGACAAAAGGAGTTTTAATGTACGTTGAAGCTTCATCTTTAAACAGAATTATATACTGCCTTGTGAAATCCCACTGTGCATTCCTCCATCACTGCTCTCTCATTGACAAATATTCTTGATCACCTGCACATTTGTCGTAATAAAATTTAAAGACGTTTCAGGGTGGGAGATTCAAAAGGGGCAAATAAAACCTGTGCAGTGGTCCTTGGCTTACAACCATAATTGAGCCCATAACTTCCATTGCCAAACAAAGCAGTTGTTAAGTGAGTTTTGCCTCATTTTATGACCTTTCTCTGCCAAAGTTGTTGAGCAAATCGCTGCAGTTGTTAAATTAAGTGAATCATGTGGCCGTTCAGCAAATTTGCCTCCCCCTCCCACATTGACTTTGCTTTTTGGAAGCCAGCTGGAAATGGGGACCACATGACGCAGAGGTGGGCTGCACTTATGTTCACAAGCAGTTTGCTGGTTGTGAACATACACACGTACCAGCTTCGTTTGCACATGCCCCTTTGGGAGTGAAACAGCAGTTCAAAGAAGCAGGTAATCAACTCAGGCAGTTCCGGTGAGTAAAGCAGGGGCGGCACGAAACTCAGCTAGGCAGCGAGGGCAGAGGAACGAGCCAGAAAGTTAGTTATAAATGGATAGCTTAGCATAAGGGCGGGTGGGTGGGCCCAGCCAGGAATCAAAGCTAAGGATTCACCTGAACCTGCGCGACCATGCAGCAGCCCACCACTGACATGACCCTAGGACAGTGCAACTATCATAAACACATGCCAGTTGTCAAGCACCCAAATTTTGATCGCATGGCTATAGAGATGCTACAATGGCCGTGTAAAAATTAATGTCACTTTTTTCAGTACCATTGTAACTTCAAACAGTCACTGAAAGATGGGTTGTAAATCAAGTAACTACATGAAATGTAAGATTATTTTGCTTCGCCGTTAATAGCTTGAGGTCTCTCTGACTTTTCCAAATCCCACAGGTAATGGGGGAGCATAAAGTTCATGAGGACAAATTTTGTGTAGCATAGGAATAAACGTTATTGTTTCCTAATATTGAATGTTATCTTTTCCAAATATGGTCCTTTCCAAGTATTTTGAATTTACACTCTCATCATGCCTTAAATAACAGTGAAATAGCCACAAGCTCAGAAAGGGTTGTTTACTGTAAATGTTTCACTATTGGCTGTCCATATTGCAAATGTTTCAAGCTCAAAACTTTAAAGATTAGAAGACATTTGATACGGTTGGAACAGTATTGCAATGCTGTCAACAAAGTTGAATCGCCTGTTTCAAATGTAAAATTAAAATTGAAAACTAGTTTGACATAGTAGTTACGGTGTGGACTAGAAACATTTTGTGTTGTCTAACACTAGCAACCAGAAACAGGAGACTGTAAGTTCTAGTGATCTCATAGACATAGAAACCATCTGGTGACTTTGGACCATTTCCCCTCCCTCTACTGAACTCTCACACCTTTCCCCATGTGGAGAAAATAGGAGGAGAGAGTATAATGTTTGAAGTATTCAAAATAAATAAAAAACATGTTTTAATGTTTCAAAATGGGATGGTGTAAATATTTTAAACTAGCTGATAACCCGGCGTTGCCCGGGTATTTATTTAGCCTAGTCCATACATTTGTCCTCAAAAATAAACCCAGACCAAACACAATTTTTAATGTTTGATTTTCCCCTTTGCCAGAGGTACCAGACGGAGCCTCCTTGTGGAGTACTGTGAAGCTATTACCATGGCGACTCTACTGCGCTGTACAGTAGAAGCCATCTTATGGCAGTACAGTAGAAGACATTTCAAGGCACAACAGGCTGTATCTTAACAGAACACACCCCCCCCCAAGGGGTGTTAGGGGTGTCAGGGGTGTCTTACCCCCACAGTATTTGTTTCCAGAGAGTAAGTCATCTGTGTACCAAGTTTGGTTGAAATTGCTCAAGGCATTCCAGAATGATGATGGAACACACACACATACATATTCTAAACGTCTTGTACATCATTTCCATGATATGGTTCATTTCTTTCTCATCCTAGATAGTCCTAGGATGGCCATCTAAAGGATTCTTCCATCCATTTACCATCATCTTCAAGCAAAGGCATTTCTGCATCTCAGCCAGGTTGTCCTCAAGGGATGATTGAAAAAGTCAAGATGGATTGATTACACCATTTCGGCCACCATCTTGATTTTGTCGATCATTCCCTGTGGATACTCCTGATCTCAACCATTTTATTGCTTTTCCTTTATCTATCTACATCTATCTAAACCGTTCGTTCAAGAAATCTGTTACTGGATAAAATGATGCATACTGGGACAACAATTGAACTAAGATACTTCACATGGGCTAACTTACAGAATGTGTTCAAAATGGAATTGAAATTTGGCAATTTTTTATAAAACATTTTAGAATAGAATAACAGAGTTGGAAGCGACCTTGAAGGTCTTCTAGTCCAACCCCCTTGCTTAGGCAGGGAACCCCACACTTCAGACAAATGGATATCCAACATCTTTTTTAAAATGTCCAGTGTTGGAGCATCCACAACTTCTAGAGGCTAGTTGTTCCATTGATTAATTGTTCTAACTGTCAGGAAATTTCTCCTTAATTCTAAGTTGCTTCTCTCCTTGATTAGTTTCCATCCATTGCTTCTTGTTCTTTAAGATATCGGAACACTGCTATCATGTCTCTCCCCTAGTCCTTCTTTTCATTAAACTAGACATACCCAATTCCTGTAACGATACGTTTTAGCCTCCAGTCCCCTAATCACCTTTGTTGCTCTTCTCTGCACTCTTTCTAGAGTCTCCACATCTTTTTTATAGCATAAACATTTCCATGAAGCAATTTATGGAATAATGCAAAATGTCATAAAACATAAAACATTTCCTGTGCTGATGTTTGTGCTGTACAGTTCGACCTGGGCTTTTTTTTTGAAAGCATATACATCTCTAAATATCTCACTGAATTTTAAAGACCTTTTCAGGTATAATACAAGCTTTGTATTATACCTGAAAAGGGTATATAATACAATGCCATTGTTGAAGGCATTGAGAAATCTGGGAAGGAAATATCTCTGAAACGATGACCCAAGGGGTCACAGGTTGTCTAGTTGTGAGGGGAAAAAATTGTCTCAGACTCCTATAGATTCACCTTCTTGCCACTGCAAGACCAATTTTACCGCGATACTAAATTTAACAATGTCATGGGCTTGCCACATTTATGTCATAGTAAATTAATTCCCTACATTTGGAGACCACACTTCATTACCCCATGACCAGATTACTGGAATGCTGCATCTTTAACAGTTTTGCTGAACTGCCTGTATGTGTGTGTGCCTCCTGACTTTTGCCAGACTTTTTATTTAGCTTTAAATATTTAACCTAACAATGTGAACTAGTGTCCATGTACAAATTCCTTGTGCCTATTTCAGAATCCATTGCATGTTAAACATTTTTTCCAGACAGCTTCTAAAACCCTGAGTACTCTTGAGAAGTCATATTTAGATTTCTAAGAAGTATTGTTCTGTCAGAAACACTTACCTTCAATTATAACTGTTAAAGGAGAAATTGATAGCAAGTGCAAATTGCGGGTAAAATCACACTTCCGTTCTGAATAAAAGGGCCGATGTGATCGTTTTTAACTTGGATTACTGATGCTCATACTGCTGAATAGAAGATGCATTTCTTCTGTACTTTTTCCTCATTGTACAATAGCTTTTTTTTTTTCCTTTGTGGTTTTTGGCTGTACAATTCCCACCACCACCACCAACTCACACACACACACACACATCACAGATCTGTTCCAGGAAATTCCCAAAATATCCAGAGTTGCAGATTGAAAACATAAATGCTTCAGATGGTTCCAAGATGGTTGGAATAATTGACACTCTGATACACTTTCAGTGAATCAGAGACATGGTAACAGGGATCGGAAACAAAAGGCGGGTTTAGCTTCTCTGTAGGGATTACCCTATCAAAGATCTCTAACTAACTTCAGCAATGAATTCAGATTAGCCTAAACTAGAAAAGTTTGTATTGTCTAAGTGCTGGAAAAATTGAGTTCTAATCCTGCCTTAGGTTTGCAACCATTTATTTAAAGATAGTTCAGAGTTACAACATGCTGGAAAAATAGCCTATATAATAGCCATATTATATGACCGATGACCTGTTCTTGAAGTTACAATCATTGCACCGCTCCTGCAGTCACACAGTTGCAACATGGGCACTTATTCATTCATTCATTCATCCATTCATTCAGGAGATTTATATGGCTGCCCACTCACTCTCAGTGACTCTGGGTGGCTTACAAATAATAATTAAAAAAACCAATATATGAATGAACAACAGTAACCCTTCACTCCCCTGGCAACAACACACAATCAAACGAGCCACTTGATGGGCTCCATCCCACTGTGGCAATTGGCTCACATTTATGATGTTGTGTGCTGTAGTCATGTGATCACAATTTGTGATCTTCCTAGCTATCTTCCAACAAGCAATGTCAATGAGAAAAATTGGGTTTGCATGATAAGCATGTGATTCACTTAATGATCAAATGGTTGCAAAATTGGATCTGATCACTTGATGACTCACTTAAATACTTAGGGACTGAAATCCCAGTAGCAATTGTGGTTGTAAGTCAAGGACTATCCATAGAAGCCAAAAGAGTGGTCTTGGACTAGTCACTTTGTGTCAGCCCTAGGTAAAAGGCAGCCACATTTCCCCCCAAAAAACCCTGCATTGATTTGTACACCTAGTTGCTGGGATCATAGGCCAAAAAATAGTGCATACAGTCAAGTGAACAGATAAATATGCTATTGCTTCTTTTTATGATTCATGCAGAATTCACTTAAAGACTTATAATTTAGATTTGTTAAATAATTAAAGGCAAGCTGATAAAATGTCCATTAAAATAAGAATAGAATGTTTTGGCTTGGGAATTACATTTTAAACTTGACACAGAGCTTTAATAACAATTGGTTCTGAAAGAAGTGCTTAGCGTTCTTTTTGGAAAAGGCATTCCTAAGGATTAAGATGGGCATGTTTACACAATTCTGAACAGGATTTAATCCTTCGTTGGGATGGCTCTTGAGGATACAAGCTGGATTTTTGATAATAGCCTCAGAATTGGATGACAAAGGGACTTTACCACCCTTGTTCTAATCTGTGATTAGGGTAAATTATGATTTTGTGTATTGTTTTCAGTTACATACACACACATAAAATAATTGTATATATACAATTATGTATATATATATGTATATATATATGTATATGTGTGTGTATATATACTGTATGCATGTGTGTGTGTGCGCACATCCATGTGTGCACATTCTCAGCTGTGTGCATTTGTTACTTTCCTTCTGCTTCCAGATAGCATCCAATTAGATACTCCATGGATTGTTTTTCAAATAAAAGCAAGCATTTCTTGGCTGAGCCAGTTTTTTGAAAACCAAAAAGGTATCTTTGCAATAAATTCTCTTCTCTCCGCCTACAGGCAGTTTATTCAAGATTACACTACTGTGTATGATAATCAGGTTTATAGCATCTTGGAGACAGTGGCGATTCTGGACCAGTCTCTGGTTATCTGTCTGATTCCGGCTATGACAGAAGCTCTGAGGAATTCAGAGTACAAACAAGGCCTTGGCAGAAACACCTTGCAAAGGTAGGTGTGGGGATTACCGTTGCTTTAGAGCAGGGATGTCAAACCCAATTTCATTGAGGGCTGTGTCAGAGTTGTGTTTTACTTTTGGGGGGGGCAAGGTGGGTGTGGCCAACTCGACATCACTCATGTCGGGGGCTCCTATGCTGGTCCAAGAGCTCTGCCAGCAAAAACAGGCTCCCAGGCTTCGTTTTCGGCTGCAACAGCCTCCTACAACCCTCTGTCGCACGTGGCCTTCCCAAGCTCCCGAGACCTATGGAAAAGGCAGAGGCCCCACAGACCAGTCCTTCACTGTTTCCAGTTCCCTCTTGAGATCTAAGCATCCCACAGGCTGGATCCAGCCCCCTTGAGCTGGGCCTTGAGTTTGACGCCCTCGCTTGTTCTTTCCAAAAGCTTTTTTGAAGGGTAATACATATTTCTTTCAGGCAGAAGTTATTCACAGTTTTTTCTACGTAATTCTTTCATATATAGAGATTACAATTTGGATTCCCTCCCCCCCCCCCCGCCACCCAATTTGATTTCCTGTTTTCAGTTTCCACACAAATGCAGCAGTAAATGGATGAATCATCACGTCGCCTTTTGTTGTGTGAACTCCATAATAAGGGTTCTCTAATCAATATGCATTGCAGGTTTGAAATTCTTGCTATAAGAAATATGCTACCCTTAAACCAGGTACCCTCATACTGAGCTACTATGGGATAGAGATATGAAAAAATAAGCTTTGTGAGCTGAAAGAAAATTGTGTGCTTTTAGTAAGGCCCTGTGATTTTAATCACAAATCAGTTGTCATTTTATTGAATATGAAATGACCCGTGGTCTAAACTGGTCCAGTTTTAATCTTTTTGAAATGATGCTATCTTATGGAATGGAAGGGGGAAACAAAGACCATTTAGTCTTCTGTTAACTTCCTTTACTTGTTTCCTAACTGCAGAGAAATTGATAACAACATAATATAAATATACAATTTCTGTTGCTAGTTAGCTCTTTCTGTTGTTCAGGTATGCTTTTCTTTCTGGTTATATAATAATAACCTATAAACTTTGAATAATTCTGCCCAGATGAAAGGACAGGTTCTTATTTGCATCCCTGCTTAGTTGGGCCCTCTTCTTTTTAATGACCACCTTCTAAGTGATAGGAAATGCATATTTGGTCCACGATGCCTCGACTAGATGCCCACATTATGTAACTAAAATTGGATTGAGAGTATAGTATATGTTGCTCAAAACAAGTGGTGCTCCTCCTCAAACAACCCAAAAGGACTTGGCTGAAATTGTGAATGTATATTCTGGAAGTTCTGCATTCTTATTTGGTCATCTCTTCCAGGTTTTTCCAGGGGTGCTTTATGAACCACAGATCTGGCATTTAGCAACAACAGCCTGATACCAGGGCCATGACAATTCTCGCCATCTGGCCCTGGAGTGGAACTAACAGGGCCGGAAGGGGGGAATTGCTGTGACGTAGCGGACCCTCCTTCCCCGGTAATGGCTAGCCCTGAAGTTCCCGTCGTACCTGCCCCTCCCCATAGTGACCGTAATGCTCCGACCCACCCCCGCAACTGTAGACCCCATTTCACCCCTCATGGTCTCCGCTCCTTCCGGCAGGCGATTTAAATCAGTCATTCTAGGATGGGAGATAGGCCTGGCCCCCCCTACCATTTCTGCAATTGCACTCCGTGGGGGAGGTACCAGGTTGTAATCCCAATCCTAACATACGTACACAACCACTCACTCAATTGTGAATGTATATTCTGGAAGTTCTGCATTCTTATTTGGTCATCTCTTCCAGGTTTTTCCAATGTCTGTGTCTTAGCTTAGATTAATCCCTCCAGTCTTCATATCTACCCATATCTGTTTTTGAGTGCTCTTTAAAGTAGGGATATCAAATTCAATTTCATTGAGGACCGCCTCAAAGTTGTGTTTGACCTTGAAAGGCCAGGGATGGGCATGGCCAGCTTGATGTCACTCATGTCGGGGGCACCTGTGGTGGCCAAGTACAAAGGCAGGACTTTCCTGAGACCCTCACTCTCGTTGTAATCTCCTTCCTTCCTTCTCTTCTTTTTCCTTCCTTTTCATTCTCCTTTCTTCTTCCTTCCCCTCTTCCCTTATTTTTCTTTCCATGCTCTCTTCCCATCTTTCCTTCTTTTTTCTTTTTCTTTCCTCTTTTCCTGTCTCTTCTTGCATGCTCAAATGCAAAAGGGGAAACATTTCTCCTTTTCTTTATAGTTTGTTTTGTTTTTAGTTTGTGCCCCGTTTTCAACCATGACAGCCTCCTGCAGTCCTTTGCCAGCAAAACCAGAGCTCTGTGTGTGTGTGTGCGCGCGCAGCCCATTTTCACAGGCAAAGGCGCCGTGGGCTGGTCCTTTGCTGTTTTACAGGCTGGCCCTGTGGGCCTGATCTAAGCACCCACGGGCCTTGAGTTTGACACTCCTGCTTTAAAGAGAAAAGTGGGGAAAGAATATTTTAAATAAATGAATTGGACATAAATATTTTATAAATTGGATGATGATATAAGAACAAAGAATTTCTTTTGGGTTGGAAACGATTCTTCCCAATGATGATTAAGGAATGTAAATCTAGAAAGAAAGATCTGTACTCTGAAATTTGTTTTAAATGGAAATTCTCTCATAGCTGTTCACAATAGTGAGTCTGACTTCTGTAGCAGAACTTTTGCCAAGCTACAGCTCCTCTAATTCTAGATCAATATGCCTGAGAATTATAGAGGTGTAAACTAGAACATCTGTTAATGTAGTGACATTAACGGTAAGGGAAGAGGTTGATTGAACTAATGCTTAAAATTGTCATGCTCTCAAGCTGTTATTTCAATAACTAAAAAACAACAACCTAAAATAGTAATAATGTTGTGACTTACACTAAACAGTACAAAATTATAGGGGGGGGGGGAAATACTGTTAATTTGCTTACAATAGCAAAAGAACGACATGACTGAATCTTAAGCTCTATGACACTAGTTTTAATTAAAATGTTATAGCTTTTGTTTGTTTTCCTTCTTAACAGAGAAGCCTACAAAAGACTTTTATCTCACCTCACAGAGGCTGGACAAATGGAGATACTGAAACTGGAAAATGAGTCCTATTAGCAACATGTTGACTCTGTGTGTGTGTGTGTGTCTGTGTGTGTCTGTGTGTGTAGAGAGAGAAGTGTTCCATAGAATGCTGCTTCTTTATGCAGACAACACATTTCCTGTGTATTGATACTGTACATAATGTTTCTGCATATCTTTATATAAGCAGATGTGATTTAATATTTTAAAACTTCAAACAACATATGCGACGCATCCTGTATGTTTTGTTGTTTCACATGAACGTTGTGCACCATTGCGATCTATCAGAACTATTAGAAAGCTATGCCAAGAATAAAAATGTGTTATATTCTAAATACTAAATAGAAATGGGAAACACAATCTCCAACAGTATCTTTTCCCTGGTCCAGTAAATCAGCACTCTTTTGCTGTCACGTCTTTCAGTTTGACATCTTGAATGTTTTGCACGCCAACACTTCACATGAGCAAGGACAGGATGAGGTGAAGAAACTTGAGTACCTTATGTTAACAGAAGATCTTATGTATGCATTGCATGGAATGGTAAGAGCTGTCCTAGTATTGCCCCCGTTTTAAAATCTGTAAATGTGTATTGCAGAATTCGACCTCTGACCCTTTCTGTGTTATCCTTATACTTGTTTGAATACCAAGAACTGATTCAATAATGAAAACTGCTCACCAGGTCACTGTATTGCTGTATGGATTCTCACTCAATAAATTATGCAATTGCCACATCTGGCAAGTAGACCCTTCATTTATAAGTAGGGTGCTATATTGACTCAGTGGCAAAACTGGTGAAATGAAATTTGTCGGTTAATAACCAGAGACTCTTTTTTTGTGTCCATCAGTTATTGTCAGAAAAACTTCCTCCTAGCCTTGTTGAGAGCATATTCTATTGTTGGGGTTTTATTATGTAAAGATAGCAGATTATCTCTTCCCTAACTCAACTATTATTACATCAGGACGTACGGGAACTAAAAGCTTCTTTTAGGCTACTTAATAGTGTGGAGCCAAAACCTTCTTTTCATTTATGAAAGAGACAGTGAATTTACATTGTAGTCTCTTGTAAGCAACTACCCTTTGGAAGAGTTTAATTCAGTTCAAAAGGCCTTCATTTCTAAAAGCTTTCTTTAAAAAAAACCTTCAGGTGAGATGCTTTCAAAATCTGAATCTTTACCATTCAGTAGAAACGCAAAGGAGAAATACGCCTTTTGCATTAAGTTTTTGAGTGTGAAACCTTTGATTTGTAGGAAAATAGGAGTTACATTATAACAGCTTGTTTAACCCAACAGTCTTTTATTGGAAATGTAATTAATACTTAGCTGAGATATTTAAAGAGTTTTATGAGTCTCAATTCATGAAAAATTACACTTGAATGAGAAGTCAGTTGAAAGATTTATTAACACGTCTTTTTAACATTGAATTATATGATCTCTGGCAGTGATTATTTGCCGGTGGGTTCAGGGAACAGATATATCTAACTATTGCAGAGAAGCTTTATAAATCTGCATTGAAGAATTTGAACAATTGCAGAGTGCACATGACATGGCAAAATATATATGGCAATAATATACAGAAATATATAAAATGTTAAAATTTAATTTGGTACATAAAAAGCCTCAAGTGCTTTATGTTTATTTTATGATTCTGTTTTAAATGAAGGCTTTTATGACAAATTCCTTTATAAAGTTTAGAGCCACAATATTAATTCACTTATTTCCAAGTAGATGAATTTAGTTTTAGATAGAAATGTCTACTTCTGATTAAATTCTGTTTATTGAGTGAAGGCTTAATTACTGAATTCAGTGTGACCATTCCAAGGCTTATTAGATTGTAAACCATAGTAAATCTTTTTATCATAATGTGCCGTTACTGTTTGTATAAGGCTATGCAGGCCATGGTTATAAATCGTAGTCAAGAACCCTGAGCAGAGGAGTTAATGTGTAGTTAGAAAGGAGTCCTTTCACAAATTCAAGAAAAGAAGGACATGAATGTTACATTTTCTTTATCTTGATTCCTTTGCAACCATGAAATCTTTCCTCACACCCTAAGTTATACAGATAAGTTACAAGCCTGACCTTAGGCCTATTCTCCTTGATCATCCTTTCTCTTTCTTTTTATATTTAGATAGAATATGAAAGTGGAGGTCAGGGGTGTCAAACTCAATTTCATTGAGGGCCGCATCAGGGTTATGTTTGACCTCAAGGGGCTGGGGTGGGTGTGGCCAGTTCTTCAGCATATTGGGAGGGGGCTGTGGTGGCCTGATCACTCTGCCAACAAAAACGGGCTCCTGAGCTCCGTTGCAGCTGTCACAGCCTCCTGCAACCCTCTGCCAGTGAAAACTGAGCTTGGGAAGGCCATGAGCTTCATTTTTGCTAGCAGAAGCACCATGGGCTGGTCCTTTGCTGTTTCCAGGGCAGCCCCGTGAGCCATATCTAAGTACCCTAGGGGCCAGATCTGGCCCTGGGCCTTGAGTTTGACACCCCTAGTGTAGGTAATTAAGGCTGGCTTTTAGAGAAAGAGCTTAAGATGTATTCTAGCTGTTCCCAAAATGAATTTTGGACTCAGAGAAATTAGGCAACAGATGCAATCCTGACCTTAGTCCTACTCAACGTATACATATAGACAGCCAGTTTGGTCTAAAGGTTAAGGCTAGAAATTGGGAGACTGTGAATTCTAGTCTTGCTTTAGGCATGAAAGCCAACCAGGTGATTTCTGTCCAGTCATTCTCAGCTCAGCCACGTCACAGGATGGTTGTAGGCAAAATAAGGGGACAAAAGGGTATTAGATACAGTCACCTCCTTGAGCTTTTTATAAATAGTAAAGGCAGGATAAAATAAATATGTCCTTTAAAATATGCTTATTAGTAGTGAAATGTGCATTTCCTAAACTTTGTAGAAAGCTCAGGATGATGTGGTAGATTTTTCTGCAAAGGTAAATTCTACCTTCTACCTAATGGATGGGAACCATCCCATTTTTTGCTTTCAGTAGTCAGAATGCAGATATAGAAAGCCGGTTTTAGAATTTTTGCTGCCACCGTTTTGAGGATTCAGTCCATTGAAAGTTTTCATTTCCCATTTTGGATTTTATGTTAACCATTGTAGCACTTCATTTGTATTTTATGTATTACAGTGTGCATTTAAAATGATAGAACCTGTCTTTTCCAATCCTTATAGGCTTTTTGTTAATGCTGTGTATTTCAATGTACTTCTAGTCCCCCTGCAAATTGAAAGAATCTGGTCACCAATATAATCCACTTTCATTTTAGCAATGGAGAAGAAAGCATCCAGTATGCACATAAATTGCTCAGTTTCTTAACCATCAAACAATTTTCTATGATATTGCATAAATCGTTGAAAATTCATACTAATTGCCATCATTTACAATTATAGACAAGTCCATTTTGTCAAATTCTGTATTTTTTTATTGTTGGAACGATGAAGATGTGTCTTAAATTACTTGAGAGTTTTATTTCACATAAGTGATGAGGTATTTTGCCTTATTACAAAAGCTTCTGAGATCCAGGGGGTGAAAGATATACCTTCATCATGAAATGAAGCATTAAAAAAAAAAATCTAAATGGTATTTATAAAATCTTTCTTCCCTAGCAGGTTATTCTAGGTACAACATGCTCACCTAAATGGAACAGTTTGGCAAAAAAAAAAGAGGTGTCTATGCTGTACTTATATTTTTATTAATAATTTCTTAGCTAAATAAACTTGGGTGTCAATAAAGAAAGATAGATATGCCAAAATTAACTCTGACAAGCATGAAAATGGTTAGGAAGCAAACAGCTTTAGGCGTTCCATCAGATCTCTGTACCAAGGGCATTTGACAATGTTTGATAATGGAGTTTTACTTTCCTAGTGTGCCTTGCAGAGAATTGTAAGTACAATTCCACAGAATGTGAGATTTCAGACATCAGTAAAAATGTATTACATTTTTGTTGTATTTTATTCAGCTGCACAAACTCTCAGCTTTCTTCTTTTTTCGTAGCTAGTTGATGTATGTAGTTGGTTTGTTGAAATCAGCTTGGATAGAAGCTATCGTTAATGTAGATTATTCCAGTATTACACTTTATTTTGGGGGTAGTACCACTGCCATACATTTTCTTTCCTGTTCCATAAAAAAAGCAAGCATACTGTGAACATATGTTGGTCTTACCTGAACGTTGATTCTCATGGATCAGCAGGAGGGCACAAGCTTGGTTATTCTCATGCCTTGATTGATCCAGAGACTGAGTCAATAATTCTTAAGCCACGCCTTTGACTCTCCTCTTCCTTGGCCCCAGTTTAACAAGGTCGCAGCTTCAAGGTTCTGAAATAAATAAGGGAAGGCAAAACAAGGAGCCCCCCAACCACCTAACTAAAAACTAACTTCCAAATAATATTGGGAGGGACCTGAGACCTCCTGCTGATCCATGAGAATCAACGTTCAGGTAAGACCAACGTATGTTCTCCATGAATCCAGCAGGAGGGCTCAGGCGTGGGACGTATCCAAGCTAACGTCCTACCAGGGGACGGGGGGACCATCACTGCCGTGTCCATCCTGAGGAATGCACACCTTCTGAAGTACCCTTCCATCGACGCAAACGCGTCCAGTCGATAATGCCTAATGAATGGAGAAGGCGATGCCAATGTGGCCACCCTGCAGATATCTTCTATGGGGGCACTAGTATTTCAGGCTGCCAAATGGCCGCACTCCTGGTGGAATGTCCATCTGGCACTGTAATGCGGCAAGCCTTGTAGGCCCATTAAGTCTCATAGCTGCCTTCCAATGGTCGCCAGGGACACCCTAGTCCGCAAGAAGGAAGGCTGGAAGGAGGTAAAGAGCGCCTCCTACCTACAGAAGGGAGTGGTGTTTCAGGTAAATTCTCAGAGCCCTTGGACATCTAACCTATGCCATTGACGCTCTGTCCTGAGAAGGCCCCAGACAGAATCAGGAAAAATCACCTCCTGAGACCTAAGGAAAAGGGAATTGACCTTCAGCATGAACGTCAGGTCCAAGCGAAGGACCACCCTATTATCATGAAAGGTGCAGAGGTCTGCCCTGGAAGAAAGTATCTCTAGTTCAGAGATGTGCCTGGCCAAGATGATGGCCACTAAAAAGGCCACCTTAAGCATCAAAAACTGAAGCGAGTTCTGAGTGGTTCAAAAAGTTTGCCCATTAGGGCCTAGAGAACTGTAGGGAGGTCCCATGTGGGAAATCTATGAACCCCTGGGGGCTGTAGATTGGAAGCCCCTTTTAGGAACACCTGATGATCAGTTGTTGAGCTAAGTGGTTTAGTAGACTGTCTTCCAGCACCGTGGCCAGTGCTGATACCTGGCGATGGAGCGTGCTGTGTGACAGACCCTTCTCGAGTCCATCCTGCAGGAACTCCTGGGGCAGGGACGCAGATGTAGACCCCAGCCTCCCGCACCACCTAACAAATACCAACCTGGTTGCATTGTTGAAGGCCACCTAGATGCCTGGATGGTCGAAATTACTCTATCGGAAATTTTGGCCACCCTCAGGATCCTCCTCGCAAGTGCCAGGCAGTCAATTGGAGCCACTGGGGCTACGGATGGACTAAGACCCCCTGGCATAGGGAGACGTAGGGACAGAAAGACTTGAGGCGAGATCCTCGCCACTGCTGCAGATGCGCTGA